AGTATGTAGACAAGGTGTTATAACGATGATAACATTTATTATTCAAATTAAGCTTTATTTAATTGTATGTAACAAAATCCAGTATTCGTTTATGTTTGTCTTTCTGGTTCAACATTCTTATTTTATATTTTGGTTATTGCATGTATTTACTTAGGTTTAAAGTTTCCGTTTATGCTGATTTCTGCAGGTACCTAAATACTTTATATTGCAAGGATCATTAAATTCCCATTTAGGTTGTATTTCCCATATTTTCAAATTATTCACATTTCTATTGCCATCTGGCCTTGACCACTAGCCGACACAGTAAGTTCTATACCATCACTCAAACGATTTATTTTTGCTCTAATTCCTTTTCTTGTACACCGTAAATTAAGTAAACATTTAAGTTAGTTATAAACAGTGTTTTATTTTCTTCACGTATTCACAAAATTTTGAACTATCGAGTTTCAAACTGAAACTTGAAAGGGCTCTAAAAATAAATAATTTTGTGCAAACACAAGGTACAAGATTTTACTTAAATGAAAAGTCCATCTACCTCAAATTTCCTTAACTGATACTTTTACCTCCGTTAATATTCTATTTTTGAATACTTGCCTTAAGTTAGTTAATGTTCCTTTTCTGTTTTTGAAGTGCTTTAAAAATAAAGATCTAAAATCGTATTTCTTTCGTTACAAAGCTCTTAACAAGCAACATTTACAATTTGTGTTCTACATCTTTCTCCCTAACCGATATGAAACATAATCCCCCTAGGGATAACATCAAATGTATAATATCTCTCCCTTTTTTGTTCCAGATGCCTTCATTTACTTTTCCCATTCCTTCCCGTTTCAAAATTTCACTCGGCTCTTGTCTCCGGCGTTAATTTCGCACAAGTGGAGTCGGGCAGAAATTCCACACGTGAGGTTATACGTTAGGTAGAGGACGGGGCTTTATTTTGTCTTAAAATTGCTACGCTCTGGTGAATAGTTGCCATGCTACACGGCTTTATTAAATTTACTTTTGAGGGCGGGTTTTGGATAGGTACAAGTACCTGCATGTATGTACAAGCAAAATAGACAGCAGCCGCGTCGTCTCTGTGTACGAACTTACTAAAAAGCGATGAAAACGAGTCGATACAAACGATTGCCTTTAATTATCATCATATCTTCCTCTCATTCATATTAGCTCATTATTTCTGGCATGAACTAAAGTAGATTCTGTTTTATTCAGTACGAGGTGTGGCAATTAAATTTCGGGAAATTGCAAATAAAACACAAGTGAATTAATTATTCGTCAAAACTTAATTATCCGCAGTTCAGAAACGCAAGCTAATAAGCATTGGCTCATCATCACCATAGAGTCGTCAGTCCTAAGACTGGTTGGACACTCTTTCCTATCCTGAGCTAAACTTCTCATTTCCCTAAAACTAGAACAGTCGACATCCTTTACTATTTGCGAACAGTAATCTAATCTAGGTCTACCTCTACCTCTTCTAATTCCTGTTTCTGCCTCTAATATATCTCTACCTAGATCCTCATGCCTGAGAAGGTGTCCTGCCAACCTATCTCGCCTATTTCTTACTGACTTCCATAGAGCCCTCTGTTCTCCTATTCTTTCCAATACCTCTTCATTTCTAACCTTTTCTACCCACGTTATCCTCATCATCCGCCTATAACACCACATTTCGAAGACTATGCAGAATGTGATAGAAAGAGGAGGAAACATTACAGCACGTCCTCGAAAAAACATCAGATCAAGAAAGGAAACACGTACACACACACACACACACACATCTAATATAAATAAGAATAACAATTTTGTTAATAAAGCTATTATCTATATATCTAATTATCCGCCCAAACGGTCGTCACCATCTTTTTACACTTTTGTCACTACCTTGCTCATCCCTGAAAACAATCTTCGTAACCTCTTGACGTTTTGGAGTACAGAACCGTCTCACAGTTATTACCTTGATCGCAGCAATAAAGCAGTTGTTTCTATTATTAGTTATTACAAAACTACCAGTTTGTGTGCAACCGTAGTATCGTAATGTTTAATAGGTCAAGTAATTGCTAACAAAAAAACGATGAAAATTTTGTCTCTTGACTACGAAATGTTTGTTCTTATATGTCTACATATGATCTCCAATTTGGCATTCGTTTAAATAACACATAATTGGGTACATTCAACACTCCCGACATCTTTATCCACATTAATTTAATTCTATCGAGAAGGGTCCTATATGGGGACGTTAAACTGTCCTGAAATTGTGGTCGAGAATGAAAGGGTCAAATAGTGAGTGATCTATCGATACTGCGACGATTCCGAAAACGTCATGCTCTATCGTTTTCTCTGTACCATGGCGCTGTTTCAGTCCATAATAGGTGTTACAGCCTATCAGAAATAATTAAATTCGGTTTGCAAAACGGAACTTTGAAATTTCCTATTGCCCCAAACATTTTACGACTGTCCAATACGAATATAATAAAAGAGTTTGCAAATTGGCATTCATAATGAATTACAATGATGTAAAATAACTCGTCATCATAAGGTCGTCAGTCCTAAGACAGGTTGAACACGCACGTCAAGTCTTTCTTATCCTGAGGTAGTCTTTGCATTTCCCTAAAACTAGAACATCCCACATTTGCGAACAGTAATCTAGTCTAGGTTTGCTTCTACTCCTCTTCACTCTATTTCTATGACTAGCCCTTCATACCTGAAATGGTGTCCAACCTATCTCGCCTATTTCTTATTAACTTCCATAGAGTCCTCGTTTCTAGTATCTCTTCTAATACCTCTTCATTTCTAACTTTCTCTATCCACGGTACCCCCATCATTTGCCTGTAACACCGCATTATTGAGGCAACTCGACCCTCGGCTATCTTCTTTATATCCCTACTACTCCTTCCGTCATGACGTATCTAACTTCTTAGATACCGAAAATCAGCCTCTTGATGCTTTACAAACACTATTTTCACTATTGCGATCCTACTTGTTGATTTTAAGTACTAATATTTTTTTAAAAAATAATAGATTTTATGCTAGTTTACATACGTAACGATTCACCCCGAAAATATAAAACCACTTGTTGCATAAATACTAGTTTATCCTGTTTATTAGCGTATAAAAAACTATTTCCATTTTCATAGCTATTGTGACCCGCTTTCTGAGGTTGCAGCTTTTAGCAATCCAGGAAATAAGTTTCGTTGTCATATCTGTAGTATGGGGAACAAAAAAGATATAAAGTGGAAGTTATATCTACATAAGCACTGTACCAATTTTGCTCTACTTTTTGAGAATATCTACTTATAAAGAAAGACTACCCTGTCATTCCATTTAAAAAATATTCTAAAAGTTAGCTGCAAGGGTGGATAATTCACAACGATATAAAAAAAAGTAGTGACTACACAAAGATATTTGAAATTAATTGGTTGGTGAATGTAAAAATAATGAATGTTTTAAACCGAACGAGCTTCATTACCTTTTATATGTGAAAAGCACACAAATGAAGAGTTAATGCGTCAAATTGTTGTAATTTACGTAAATGATATATTATCCGGTGACCTGTTGTTAGAAAGCACTCCAGATGGAACAATGGTCTTTGAAAATTCAGGGAAACGAATCTTCAGTAAACTGAAATGAAATATTCAGGGAAAAGGCTTTACCACAACCTATTGTTTCGTAAAACATTGAGACGAATTAAGTTATACGAAGGTTTACGGTTTTAGGAACGAGATACGCCTATTCACGGAGGAAAGTGTGCGAATTTTCTTGAAATGCGAGGGTAGGAAATTGAAAGGAAATGAGAAATATTCAAATAAATGTATACAATACCGTTTCCAAACACCGCAGAAATTAGCGGAATTATTTAGTTTTCGTAAACCGAGATCAGGCAACGATACGAATGTGAGATCTTTTAATCAATAATTCAGAGCGCCAGCCAGTGAGGTATTTGTTCCAGAAGAGCTTCGGTCCAAACCAATTACAGCTTTAGCGAATATATTCAACTCGTACATAAAAAAAATGAGGTTAAAATTACATATGCTCGGACCTACTAATTGATTTGGAAATCGTTTAACAATTCAATGTCCATAGGTATTTAAACACAACAAAAAATATAAGCATTCAGAAGAACATATTTCAACCTTTCCGCCTTTGAGATTATCGGTCATTCAATAACTTCATTTTTTTTAAATGAAACTTAGAGTAAGGCTGAATTACATTATTCTTTTTTGTACGTAAATGTAATTTATCTACCTGTAACGACCCATGTTTGCTTTACCTAATACATATATATTAGTAATTACTATTTTATTATATTTTTTAATTTAAAACTATCACTATCACTAGTGATTGATTGTCATGAATAACACAATAATATGACCATGGACAGCTGATATTATATTTTATTTTGTTGAATAATGACTAATTTTAAATTTGTTATCGCATTAGGAATAAATTTTTATTAGTAGGTACAGCTAAATTAATTAATAGATGGAAATTTTTTATTTGGTACTTAAAATTGGCAATTTCTTATACTTCTTGAGCAGATTGCGGTGTATTAATTACATTTACATAATGGCCATCATTATGCAGCATGCTAAATATTTCGTACACCCTACAACTTCGCCTTGTAAATATTCATAGACAGCCGCATCGAGAAAATTACATGATCGTGATCATACCTTACAGGGGAATTTTCCACTGATTAAACGACGGAGTTGGGAATATCAGCATTTTTCATTAAGAATAGACAAATACACCCTTAATTACAAAACCGTTTGCAGAAATAGTACCATATTATAACCAAATTACTTCTGTACGAACGTATGCATATGGTGCTTTTTATTTTATGGTTTTGGTATAATTTCACTCCATAGTTTAAAATAACTGAAATTCTACGTTTTTTTTACATAAACAGCAAACTATCGAAAGGCTTCTGTGTCCTCTGCCTATATTGCTAGCGTAATAATAAATTTGAAACAGGACTCCAAATCTTTAAACAAACGTTATTAACTTACCATATATATACTGCCCATACATATCTTAAACAAGTCAGATAACATTTGAATTTCTTTGTGTTCAATCTAGTTCCGAACAAGTCCTTTTGTTTTTGTTACTCCAAAGTTAGTCCAAGAACCACAATAAATGCACGTTTTTGTACAATAGATTCAAAATCTAATTTAAGTTTATCACACTAATTTCAGTAACGAAACAATAAAATAATACCGACACCGGAGAGCGAGGTTACAACATAGCGATCGTGTTCTAAAGCTTCAACGAACTGATTGTACGAGAAAGATATACATTAAATGGTATAATATTAACGTCCTTGTGTAGGACATCTATCTAATAGGAGTGAGAATATTAAACGTAGGGCAGAATATTTGTATGTGTATGATACTGAGATAAGATTAATTTTATTCGTCAATAACTGAACAACGAGCTCTTATTAATTCTTGAATTTAATAAAAAAATATTACGGAAATTAGATACTTAACTTATTTGTTTAAACATACGTATCCTTAGGTGAAGATGCTGTAGATACCTACCTACGTGTTAACATACTAACAGTTTTGAATTAATCAAATTTAAATTTTTGAATGTAACAGATAATCAAAATAAATTCATCTTTACACGAAATAGAAAGATTTTAAATTTACTAAACCGAATGTAGGTATCTGATAAATTAACGCATCGAAATTTACATACTTACGTATTATACATATACAGTAGGTAATAAAATAATTCGATCATACATAGGTACAACGTATAAGTAAAAGTATTAGATACACTGAATTTCATCCTAATTTCTCATCTAAAGTTTTATCTATACATTCCTAGTTTTAATAATTTAGTAATGTTTTAATATTACTGTAAGATGTGTTACAATGTGTAAATTAAAGTCCAAAGAAGAAAAGGTTAGAAGCGTTCAATATGCGGTATTACAGACGAATGATGAAGATACCGTGGATAGAGAAGGTTAGAAATGAGGAGGTAGGTACTAGAAGGAATAAGAGAAACGAGGACTCTATGGAAGTTAATAATAAATAGGCGAGATAGGTTGATGACACACCTTAGATAAGATGGCAAATCACGGACATATTAGAAGCAGAAACAGGAGTAGAAGTAGACCTAGATTATGTTACTGTTCGCAAATAGTTAAGGATGTGGGATGTTCTAGTTTTAGGGAAATGCGAAGATTAGCTCAAGATTGAAAAAAGTGTAGGTTTGTTCAACCAGTTAATGGACAGGTCACTTACGATGATGGCGACAACAAGCAGCACCTTGTCATATATTAGACATGTATATAATATGCACTGTCCATTAGCAAAGTTTCACCGTCTTGTTGAAAGCTCAGGTCCTATCGTTTTAACCGCATAGAAATTACTACGTATATATACATTTGTGCGTATGTATGTGCGTGCGTGTTTGTTAATTATTAATTCGAATGGATCCCATTATCCGGGTTTGGCAGATGGAAGACACGGTAGACGTTATGTTCTTCATTATATGTATACAGTTGCCCATTACCGACCGAAAGGGCGAATTTAGTGGCGCTCCAGAGTGACCCAAATGCTTCTAGTGATTATTCTAGCAGTCTACTACATCTTATTTGACTTTCAAACATATTCTACTCAATCGACCGTTTTCGCCAACAATAATGTAGACTTGCACATAATAGCGACATTATTTGTCGATTAACCCGATCAATTTCGATTGAATAGAGCTAAACCTTCACTTACGTATCATCCAACTACAAATTATTTAAATGGTATAACGTACCAGTTTTCGAAAGTCAGTAAGACTGGTACATGTCAATGGATCTAAACTAACCATAGGTGCATAACGTTAAAAAATAAAAAACGAAATTTGTGCTGGTACACAGTGAATGTTCAACGGTCAAGTGGAAAAACGAATCGCAACAAAATTTTTACTTAAAGTTTTCAAATTGGACATTAACAATCTGCCCGTAAAACTTGAAGTGAAAATTTTGTTGCGGTTCGTTTTTCCATTAGTCCGTTGAAGTTTCACTTCTACTATGTGTCCCAGCACACATTTCGTTTACATAGGTTTACTGCAAATTATGATTTGGTTTTTACATGGACCGCAAATAGAGGCAATGATGCTCAGCCACGTGGAGAGCAGAGGTAAGAAAACAACAGCTGAGCACAGCAATCGCCGCCGGGACTCTAGCGGACTCCTTGCTCTCCGCGTGACTGCGCATTATATCCATCCTTTCTCACTTTCCGCCGCTGCCGTCTCTTACCCCGCGACATACCGTCTACCCCCTCCACGCGGCCGTAACGCTTTTTCGGAACAGAAAAATTTATAATACGCCGTCTATGTAGTAGTTTTATTTCAACAAATTCCTAAAGAATAAATAGCTTATTTGATTATGATTAGGATGGGTTACTGCATTATGTAATTTAAAAAGTGGTTTGACCTAGGCGAAGTAGTTTATACTGAAATTGGGTTTGGCTGCTAATTTTTCAGTATAAACCAGTTTTGACTAGGTCAAACTGGTTCATCTTATGGTTCTTCGGATAAAGTACATAGTTTGACGTAGGCGAAATGATTTTATCCTGAAATCGGATTTGGCCAGTAACAAACTAATTACATTACACTAATTTTCATAGGGGATACGCTTAGGATATACAACAATTCACTTTGTCGACCATCTCTTGGTTATATCATTCTTATTTTATAAACGACAGAATAATCCCCCAAAACCAAGACGTAAACGTAATGGTTTTCCTTAAGGGAGGAAAGTAAAGCACACTGTGGAGGTCAATTCTATTCTACGACTTTTGGTTGACACACATAAAGATTTACTGTTCACCATTAGGGTTGTGATGGCTGAAAGGGTTAATGTTCAGTCGCTCTGGGACTCTCCCCGAAAAGGCCAGCCTACTGCTACAAATACAACACGACTAAAATTCATTAAACTTTTCAATTCAAAACAAATTCTACAATTTATTCAGTCAATAGCAAAACTTACACTTCTTAAGTGCTACCCAATAATTATAAACGGACTATAAAATGAAAATTCATTTTCCGAAAATGTTCCATCCGAACAGAGTTAAATTTTATTACTTTCCAGAAGTCTCTTGTAACATTATTTCATTAGGATGTTAAACTTGAGCGATTTAACATCCGAAGATTATTCGGGATAAATGATGATAATAATACTAAGCAAAATTTGGTACAAACACATTTTCAAAGTGTTGAATATTTATTATGCTCACTGAAAATGTTAAAGTAACCCAAACATCACTAACAACGACAGTAACGAAGTTCAAAGTTTTTGTTTCATTAGATAAAAGATGTATGTCATATACAGGGTGTCTCACGATGACAACCCGTCATAATACACGGTGTGTTCCATTTAAAATAAGGAAGTTGGTGTCAACTTTCGATATACTAGAAGTGCTACATTAATGTAGTCATTTTAATTGAGGAGAGCAATAACGGTATTATCTAAATTTTCAAAATTCGAATGGAAGTAGTTTCCGAAATATCCTAAGGGGTAGTCACCGTATTTTGTCTTTACGTTTGTATTTACGTTAGCAATATAGGTAGTAAATGTAGGCTTTCTCGGCCAACGTCATCAATATTAATTAATAATACTAGCATATCAATGCGTTTTATTGTCAATTCTAATGTTATTATAACTGAATGAAAATAAACGTTTCCGATATCCAAATCTTCCCTTAATTTGTTAACTAACTGCAACCACATATATTCTAGCCTGGAGAAAGTCTAAAAAACCTAGGCGAAACGTCGAACTTGGTTTAATAGTAAATATATTATTTATTCCTTATCGGGCTCTGATTTAAACATCTTCAATAATGTTTCCTCTTATCAAAAAACACTTTTTGCTATATATACTTATGTATATAGGCATATACAATTTATATAATTAAAGTAGTTTACTAGATCACAATTCCGCTACGCAGCGCAGCTAATGCGAAAGTTCAGCATCTACAAAATTGACTGCGTATGTGTGAAAACGATTGTTGCGCAAAGCAGCACACCTTGTTTTAATTGAATTTTAGATGAGATAAAATTAGCAGTAAACCACTGCTGAATTGTAGGGGCATAAATGAAATTGCGAAAATAATGACTTACAGTACAAGTGGCTTGTTAGGTCGTTAATTCTCTAGTTTTGGCATTTCATTAACGTTTTACAGTTCTGCGTAATTAAAACTATTAAACATTAAGAGCGATGATATGGAACCAATTTTTGTACATAGCAATTCCTTCAACCCCAAACTACGTAAATGTCACCTTATTAAGTACAATACGTTTAATTCAAAATGACCGCCTCATTAGAATGCACCTGTTTTATTTAATGGTAAATAGTAAACCAGAACAATTTAGAAATTTATTAAGACAATTAGGGGAAGAGGGGAGGTTCTAGTTTTTAGTTTGCATATTTTTGTCATTATATTAAAATATTCTAATGTTCGTGGGTTTAACAAAATTAACTTCTAAGACTGATAACGACAAAAACTATTTATTTACACTAATTATTATTAAAGAACTTAAAAACACTATTAAATTATTACTAAATTTATGTTATGAATTATTCTATTTATTTACACTACTGTTGATAAACCACTATTCACTGCGCTATTTATTTCACTGTCAATTTATTTCTAGATTCACTTCTGCAACGATCAATTGATTTCTCCTTCCTCTCGGCGATCGTCTCTTCCTTTAAATACTCTTTTGTTTACTTTCGGAACCTTCTGGAAACATCCGGATAGCTTATTTTTTCTTTCAACTGTTTAACTGCTTTCCCAGAACGCAGGTACGACACACACATTTACAAATACGGTGTACATGAAGAAAGGCGCCCGCGGCTAGTCGGCGAATCGATAAGCCGTTCACGCACACGTGTGCCCGATCGCACACAAACACACTCGTGCTCGCTATAATATATTATTATGTATAATCAAAGTGCATGTTGTAATGTTATTCGTTCATGTCGCTGTCCACTGAGAGAACTTGCATTGTACAAAATATAATTTTAATAATTTAACACAATTCACAAAGGCAAACTCGCCACTTTTCTATCTCTAGTAGGCAACAGTAACTAAAAGCATCATTAGAATTTAATATTGCATCTCTCAATACACTCATGAAATAGTAATATGCGTTGAATATGTGTACAATAGGTACATATAAAATTAGGTTAAACATGCAAACGTCAAATACAAAGGATAATTCAA